TCTACTGAGGACAAATTCTCTTGCAGTTCCCTTCATCTTAGATATCTTGAAGAGAACATCCTTAAAATATCCTGAAAGATTGGGACGCCGAGGCAGGCAGACCACCTGAGATCAGGAGTTCGAGACCAGCCTGGCCAACACGGTAAAACCCTCTCTCTACTAAAAATACAAAAAAATTAGCCAGGTGTTGTGGCAGGCACCTGTAATCCTAGCTACTCGGGAGGCTGAGGCAGGAGAATTTGTACCCAGGAGGCAGAGGTTGCAGTGAGCTGAGGTCACCCCACTGCACTCCAGCCTGGGCAAGAGGAGTGAAACTCTGTCTCAAAAAAAAAATAATATCCTGAAAGATATTTTTGCTGGCTATAAAATTCAGTTGATATTTCTTTCTTTTCAGCATTTGTCAAATTCAGGGAATTTCACCACTATTATACCTTTGATTTTTTTCCAGGCCCATACTCTTCCTCTGGACATAGGTGTCCAGTGACACAGATGTTACGTCTTCTGTAATTATCTTCTTTGTTTCTAGGTCAAGGTGGAGTTTAGCTCCTGACTGGACTTTACAGATACTACCCTACCGGGAGAGTTAGATGGAAGATCACATCTCTACTAAGTCTGCTCGGCATCTGCATGGCAGGAGAGGGATGGAGGGTCAGTGCCCTGCTCAGCTCATCTGGCAGGGGCACCTGCATTTTGCTGCTGTTTCTGCTGTACTAGGGACAGGTGGACGATCAGCTCCCAGCTCAGCCCAGGGAACTTTGGCGGTGGAAGGGAAGTGCAGTGCTCCTGTTGGTGCTTGGCTGGACCAGGGCAGGTGTTGTCAAGAATGTCTTCTGTTGTGCTGTTTGCCTGGGACCTGGGCTTTGGTTGGAGCTCTCCATCAGTGCTTCCAGGATGCAGACTTCTCCAGCACCACGTCTGGAAAACAGGAGATGAAAATCCTGGGAAACCACCACCACGGTGGTCCTCCGTTCTGAGGTCCAGCTTTTCCACCTGTCAGAATCCTCCTGCATATTGCTGTACAATGTTCAGGGTGTTTCAGCTGTGGACGGGGCATGACAGGAAGAGGGATACACCATGTTGGCCAGAATTACAAGGCTCACCTTCATTTATAACTTCATTCAATCTTGATTGTGTACATTTCATGGTGGGAGGAAATCATTTTTTTTGCATATTAAAATCGATCATTTTAGTATTTATTTTTAATTGTTATATGTACCTAATAGTTGCAAGTATTTATGGGGTACATGTGATGTTCTGATACAGGCATACCATGTGTAAGGATCAAAACAGGGTCATGGGGTATCCATCACCTCAAGCCCTTATCATTTCTTTGTGTTAGAAACATTAGGAACATTCTAATTCTACTGTTTTGTTACTTGTTTTTTTTTTTTTTTTAACATTTAATGTATATTTTCTGTATATTTTATATTTTAGCATTTTAAAATTAAAGTATTTAAAATGCTAAAATATGAAATATATTATTTTTAACGACAGTCGCCTTACTGTGCCACCTATCACTAGACCTTCTTCACTGTGTCCATCTGTATTTTTCTACATGTTAACCACGCCCACTTTACCCCCCCCTCCCCGCCACCCTTCCCAGCCCCACCATTCTACTCCCTCTTTCCATGAGTTCAATTTCGGGGGAAGAAATATTCAAGGTCATAGAATTAAATCCTCTCATTTAATAAATGCAAAACAGAATCATCATGCAGAATCGCAAAGGTAGCAGACATTATCAAACTGCCATTGTAAGGCCGGATGTAAATATAAAATTGAAGAACCAGGATTTAAAAACTAAAAGTATCTTTCGAACAGCAGTAGTAATGGTAGTAATAATAGCAAATAAATGTTTTCTTTTTGGTATTTACCCACGGTTCCACCTAAAGTGACATTCCATTTCCCATGCATGACAAGAAAAGGCCAGGAAATAAAGGAGAAGAAGGAGCTGGTGTCAGGTAAAAGGGACCCCACACGCCCATGTGGGCATTCCTGTTGGAAGGCTGGGCACCTCTCACAAATCATTTCATCTTTCTGGGGCACCATTTCCTAATCTTCAAAACGGAAATGATGAAACCTTATCTAACTGCCATACAGGCTTATGTGGTATTTTTTCTTCCTTTAAGGGTGCTAATGAGCTACTTTGTATGACAGCAATAGGAAAAACTATAAAGTTGTGCACAAGAAAAAGTATAAAACCGGCTATTTATAATGGAAGATAACAATAAGAGCATGCATTAGTGTTCAAACAGCACATGTGGTAAACCACTGAGGAGGTTCACAAGTATAAAATCTTTCTCTACCTCAGATAATTCAAAGTAGAAACCCTCTGACCTTAGACTGTTATTTTACCAAGCACACACACAAACACACACAGAGAGACCTGCTTTTTAGCCTGAAGCCACAGTCTAAAGGAAAGCATGCTTACATAAGTCCACCAGCACTGAAAAATGGCCTCTGTGAAACTCCTCAATAATCCAGCCAAGTGTGATGCTATTTTTAGGTTTCAGGGGAAATGAATTGTTCAGATGAAAGCATTACTCCCTCATTCTACCCAAGTACCATATTACTTAACGGTCAAACAATTTTTAAGGCACCAACTGAGTAGTGTATTTCTATTACTTGGCAGATGGGAAGCAAGAACTGAATACTGTTATTGCGACTCTTTCTGAAAAGTAATTTGTCAGAGGTAATGTCCTTTCCACTCACCGGCAGCACACCCGGTTTCTTGTACGTGCTGAAGTCACTGGGGTGGTGACGCAGGGGGAGGCTGAGGGCTGCAGTGACCCTGCCCGGCTCGTCACGACCACTGGCTGCACGACGTGAAGCAGTTCAGACGCTGCGGGTGAGCGTGGAAGGATACGACACGGTCTCTGCGAGCCACAGAGAGCCTGACTGTCGTTATGTTTATCGTGAATCATCAGTGCGTGTCCAATGCAGGCCAGGGCAGGAACCAGGAAGGCCATCTAGTGCCTCTTCAGGGATTCCTATGCCACCTACAAAACTCAGGACATCTATGGGACTGGAGGCCACCGGGCGAGGTGGTTCACGCCTGTAATCCCAGCACTTTGGGAAGCTGAGGCGCGCAGATCACCTGAGGTCAGGAGTTTGAGACCAGCCTGGCTAACACGGTGAAACCCTGTTTCTACTAAAAACACAAATACAAAATACAAATACGAGTCCGCCTGCCTTAAAGCAGGAAAGGTTTGTGCAGAAGCAGTGTTCCATGGTCCTAAACACATTTAGACAGCCAAAGTAGCCCTCAAAGGGAAGACGTGTCAGGAAGAAGGAATATGAAGCCAGTCACTTCACAGCCCAGACGGCGTCGAGCAAGAAGGATCAGGGCTCTCTATCTCCACTGCAGCCACCTCTAGATAGGAACACTCATCTCTGCCTTCTTGCAGCGAGGCAAGATGTCCTGCATCTCCTCTGAAAATGACCTCAGCCAGCACAAGAAACGGTGCCCACCCCAGGGCACACCAATTGCAGGGGTCACGTACTTATCGTGTGAAAATAACAGGACAGGGAGTGACTGAGGGCACGCCACTCCATGACACGTGAATATCACCTCACTTTGGCCCCGAAAGCATCCCCTGTTATTTACTGTCTCCACTCCACGGTGAAGGAAAACAGAAGGTCACGCTGCAGGTTTCACAGCTGTGTTAGGGCAGCACGGCCGTGGCTCCAGCCAAAGTCTCCAAGGCCAGAGCCCAAGGAGTGAACCACCAAGCACTGGAGCCCCCAGGACTTGTGGGGACCACAGGTGTTGGCAGTGAAATTTCCCTACTTGTAGGAGGATCTGGGGGTGACACAGTCCAGGACATTTTCACCCGCCCTCTTTCATCTCAACTGCTCTGGCTAATGGGGCTGCCGGACGGAGCGTACCAGAGGAACCAGTTCAGGATGGTGAACTCCTGATGTGAGACACAGTTCCACCTGGAGCTAGTGCTGGCTGTTTTTTTGTTTTTTGAGACAGAGTCCCACTCTCTCGCCCCCAGGCTGGGATGAAGTGGTACAATCTCGGCTCACTGCAACTCTGCCTCCCAGGTTCAAGCAATTCTGCCTCAGCCTCCCAAGTAGCTGGGATTATAGGCACACACCACCATGCCCTGCTAATTTTTCTATTTTTAGTAGAGACCGGGTTTCACTATATTGGCCAGGCTGATCTCGAACTCCTGACCTTGTGATCCGCCTGCCTCAGCCTCCCAAAGTGCTGGGATTACAGGCGTGAGCCACCGTGCCCAGCTGTGCTGGCTGTTTAAAAATGCATCAGACCCCTACAAAAGGTGTGGTTTCATCAGGTTTACTTTAAATTCTTAATATGTTCTCTTTGGTATTAAAAGGTGACCTCCACTAATTATTGAGTTGAAACAGTCTAATGGTAATTCCTTATGTGACTGCCAGTATCAGCGTTACTAGGGCACTTGTTAGAAATGCACATTCTTGGGCCTCATCCCAGACCAGTTTATTCAGAAACTCTGGGGGTGGGATGCAGCCAGCTGTGTGGAAACAAGCCTCCATGTGGCTCAGAGGCATGCTTCAGCACGAGAACCCTGGGTCCGGCAAATCCCGTAGGAAGGGGGAGTCCAGATGCAGGCTCAGAGCAGCAGGCCAAGGATGTGCATTTGATGCACTGTAGTTAGGCTGGCCAGAGAAATGAAACGATCACAGTGAGGTCTGAGAAAGGTAATTCCAGAAATGGGAACAAGATTCCCTGTGTAACAGTGCTTTTAGGAGCACAGTAGTCAGAGTCCCAGCTTTGCTCCCTCCTTATCATGCAGGCCTTTCTCCATGAACCTCGGTTATTTTCCCTGTAGAAAGGGAACAGTAACAGGACCTATCTCACAGGTTTCTTTGCAAGCAAGGAAATAAGGAATATGCCTCCTCAAAATGAATGCAATTTACTTACTTAGCAAAGTGAGTTGGAATCAAGATATTTTAAGGTAAATAGTGTTAGCTATTTTGGTGTCTAATGCACTGTTGAAAATATGAAAATAGTATTTGATGCTACGATTGGCAGAAAGCAAATATTCTATGACCACCATTTGTGTAAGCTCTTACTGCATGAGGCTGGGAATGCCTGCAGCCCCTGCTTGGGGCTGATGGGAGAGAAGTGGCTCGGTCACACCGAGGCTCACTCTCCTCAGAACCCTCAGCCTCACACATACAGTTTTCCCTATACCTTGGATGCTGTTTATGTTCTTTTTTTTTCTTTTCATTTATTGGCGTGTCAGCTCTTGCTAAGTGCATCTAAAACTCCTTCCTTTCTATCTTTTCTTTAGAAAGTTATTTGATCAGTGCTGGTGAAGAACTAACGTGAACTTGACAAAATATACAGCTAAAATTAAATCATATGTAAACAGAGTTCCCGAGTCAAGGGCAGTAAATTGTACGACCAAAACATCTGAGGAAGTGAGCGACAAAACCTCTCTATGCAAAACCGAACATATCAGGCCCTCAGAGTATCAAGCCCCATGCTCCCTAAGGTTGCAGGCGACTATGATTTAACAGGCGTATACATTTAGAAGAATGCGTGGGTGATTGATTCATAAATGAACATATTCCCTGCAGAGTACCCTTGGGTGAAAAGCAAGGCTAAGGAGATTAATCAAGCCATGTTGAACAAAATGAGGATGACTATGGAGCCAGACAGCTACTGCACCTGCCCCTCCGAGACAGCGGCGGGGAAGTCCTGGTGTCAAACTCTCTGATTCGCCACAGTAAGGCTCCCTGCTCCTCCATTCACAGCCCAAGTCTGTCTGTCTGTCTGTTTCCCTCTTCCTGTTCTGACTCCTTTCTTGATTTATCTCTTTTCCCACCTCCCAACTCCCTGGTGTATATATGCTCTGTGACCCCCAAAGAATCCTGCCCCTTCCTTGCCACAGGAATTTTATCTCTTTAGTTTCAATAATGTCCTTCCTACTTAGGGAAGTATCTCCAAAATGTAGACAGCTTGGATTCATTCCTGGCTGCATGTTCGCCGAGTGTGTGGCATCCCGAAGCCGCATTTTCCTCATCTGCTTATTGGGGATTATGCTGGTATCTTCCTCCTTGATGTCCTGTGAGCAGTGAATCATGTAATCTGCTTAAAGCACCTAGCACGTTGTCTGCCATGGGGAAAATGTTCAACATGTTAATATTATCATTTCGCTTCTTTAATGACTGACAGTTCACGCCACAACCCGCTTTTCCCTCCGAGAAGGCAGTGGCCTGTAATGCTGTGATGCTCGCGTCACTCGCCTCTTCCACAACTCTCCCCCACCCACCTCCCACTTTAACTTGCACTCCCTCAGTAGTCCTCCTCTTCTGACGTAAGAATGTCCCTCTCTTTGATCTCTTCTCTTTTGCCAACTTAAACCCTGGCCCGAGACATCCTTCCTGTTCCTGCTGTCTCTCCTTTGCCAACTTTTCTCTCCTTTCCGTCTTCCACAACCACCATTACCCGCTTCTTCTAAGAGCTCCGAGAGGTCCCACGATTCTCATTTTGACCCTGACCCTTTCTCTCCTTTGGGTCAAATTAACCTTTCCAGTGAGTCCCTTTTTCAGGTTTGGGTGCCGCTGCCCTCTTGGCATTCTCCTGATGCCACGCACGGCACCTGCAGGATGTGTGTCTAAATCCAGCGCCACTTCCAGAGAGACTCTGTCCATCCTCCGATTCACCCCTCATGCTGTGCAGGAGGTCACAGTCATGGGGCACAGGAGAAAGAAGGGACCTGCTTGAGGCCACACAGCTGACTACAGGTGTGAAGCTCATTACAGAATAGAAAGACCCCTGGTTTTTTTTTAATTGAAAGGAAGACAGTGGACGGAAGCAACTTTACATTTAGTTTTGCAATCCAGTATGTTAATACAGTTTGTACGTTACATTTGGAAGGTAGGTGAGGTGAAGTTTACACTTTCATAACTGTATTACTGTAGCCTCCAGCTCCCTTCACAAGAAATCCTAGGTCAGATGCATATAAGTTTGAAGTACTTCCAAATGATATTTAAACTGAGTCTATGTAGGTGGACTTCTGCAAGCTTATCATAAAACTTAGTTTTCAAATCTCCAACCTAATACAACCTTAGTCTTCAATGCCTAATATTTCTAACAAGGTTTTATTTAGAGTCAAAAGATTAAACTTGTGTTGATTTTCCACATACAGATTTGAGAAAATGCTATTGACCCACCTAAACTTCTAAGTTGACCTTGAAAACTTCTTCCAAAGCATATAGAAAAAGCAAAGTGAGCTAATTATGCCAGCAAATGCAAGTGATAAGCAATTTCCATTTGCCAGCCCTGAAGCCTGCAACATCGATGCTTTGTAGTCGCTATCGGTGCCGCGGGACGTTAAGAGAAGCTCCGGTAAAACCTCCCTGTATGCTTTGGTGCAATGGGGGATGATCCAAGCTGCTGCCCAGGACCCTAGGGAAGGACTCATCTGCTCTTGTTTCAGCCTTACTGGATATGATGTAACAGGCACTTTACACACAGCCAGTGCCGGGTATAAATAGACAACATCTGCATGAACAAACAGCCAAAAGAAGGCTCGGTCAGGAACGACCATCCCAGCTGGCGCGGAGGCGCGCACCTGCAGTCCCGGCTACGCGGGAGGCTGGGGGTGGAGGCCGGGGGTGGAGGCCGGGGGTGCGGCGAGCCTTGGTCACTCCAGGCTGCGCGACAGCGCGAGACCCGTCTCCAGACAAACGCATAAAACAATGGCTGTTGGCACTTTTAAAAGAACCGTGAAGAGACGACTTCGCCTCCCTCGTGCACTGGGCGCGTCCGGCCGCGGCGGGGGTGCCTTAGCTGGGGCGCCCCGAGCGCAGCTTCCCGGGCCGGGGCCTGCGGGGCGGAGCGCAGAGACAGGGGCGCACCCACGCGGGGGCGGCTGGAGAGAGGGAGGGAGGGAGGCGGCGGAACGTCCCGGGCGCTGCAGGTGGACACGGAGCTGCGGGAAAAGAAACGGAGGCGGGAACAGGCCGGGACGCGGCCCGCAGCAGCAGGTGCAGGGCAGGGCGCGGCGGCCACGCCAGCTCCGGGAGGTGGCAGGTGCGGGTCTGGCTGCGGAAGGACGCGGGAGGCTGGGCCCAGAACCGGCTGCCGAGGTGCGGCTTCAGAGCCCGGCCTGGGAAGGGAGAGGGAGGAGAAGACGCGCCGAGGCCCTCACCGGGGTGGACCCCGGCTGGGCTTTCCACACCCCGGCTGCAGCTTTTCCAATAAATACTGACACAGGAAAATTACAGCTGAGATTTAGGAGGACGATACTATCGACACAGAGAAAATTATGAAGGGTGACTGTACTCTGAGCAATTTGATGCGATTCGTAGACACAAGACACAAGCTACAAGCTGGAAAAACTTTAAAACTTTTCCTATGTCACGTTTTTTCTCTCTTCTAAGCCCTTGCCTTTTCCAAAGGCCATTCATAGCTTAACATCCTTATCACACAGCTGCTCTGTGAGATACTTATTTTTTAAATTGTTTCATTTTATTTTTTTTATTTTTTTTTTCAGAGAAACGTCGCGCTCAGGCTGAAATACAGTGACACAATCATGGCGTCCACCTCCTGGGCTCAAGCGACCCTCCTGCCTCAGCTTCCCAAGTAGCTGGGATCACAGGTGTGCACCACCATGCCTGGCTAATGAGGGATAAGCCTTAGATCACTTAAAGAAGTAAGAAATACTGTGGTGTATAAAGAAACAACAATGAAAGTCTCCCGACATCATGCCAACCACGAAAAGAAATAAGGCCGTTTATTTCCAAAAATGTCCTCAGAACAGAATCCGAATAACTCGTCACCTTCCTTTCAGGTTCTTGATTGATTTTAATTTTCTCCCACAATAAAATAAATTAGGAGAAATTTCCATCACTAAGTGATTTGAAATAAACAGAATTCATTATGCTACTCTAGTATCTTGCAAATTTGTAGCAAACTCCAAATTCATTTTTCAAATACGTCTAAGAAGTGCCAAACATGGCCTGCTGTACCACAGCCGTACCGGAAGGACAAGACAACCAGCTCAGGCTGGAGCAGGGACATATTCCTCCAAGTTCCCAAATGAAACCAGTATCACTAAAAACAGAATCTCCAGGTGAGGGCTTCCGGTTTCAAGAGTGCTTTAATCATTCATCAAGAGACCAACGGAATCTGTAATAGAGTTGTGTGGTTTATAAATGCCGGGGGTGCTTTATGGATGAGTTGTATTAAAGAATTACAAATTTCTCATTTGATTAGTTTGGGTAGGCTTTCCTGCTAGAATCTCAGACTGATTTTATTGTGCTTCATCAATTTTATGGTTGACATGTTTTCAATTTACTTTGTACTGTTAAGAAACTGAAATGAGTTTTGGAAGTGCATAGTCAACCCTTTCCTCCCCTCCCCAGTGCCACAGGGACCAGGTGGTCAGGGCTCTGAGCCTGCTGACCGGAATTCTGTTTTCTCTCCTCCTCACTGTCTCAAAGAGCTTGAGCTCATTTAATCCCAAGGAAAAAGTTGCTTATCATTTTCACATCTATAAGTTTGCTAATTAGGTTTGATATATGTCAACACACGGTTTCACAAAGAAACAAATCATACCTAGAAAAATCTAGAATAATTGCCCTGTATCCTGCTTCTTTTTTCCTAATGTTTTTCTCTTTTCCTATAGTTTTCTTTTCCCTCCCTCCATTTCTTTGGGTGCTTAGAACTTTACCAACGGTTGGAAGGTCCAGAACCTGCCTTAGTGACATAGGGTTATTTTGAGCTGAAGACATTTGAGAATCATGAAATGCAGGAAGAAGCTTTCTCTAAATTCTCACTTTTGCCTACAAAGAGGCCCCTAAAGCCCATCTCCAGGCGTTTCATAACCAGGGAAAATTGATCCTTCTTGCAGGAGGGCAGAGGAGAAGTCAGCAGCACACCCAGACATTGCCACAAGCCACCGCATGTCCCGTCTGTCCTCCTAAGGTCCACTTATCATTCCTAAAAATCATCTGCTCTTCTGTAAGTGGTGTTATTTCCTGTCTCTCCCCTATGAAGGTTGGCATAAGCTCTCAAATCTCATCTCTCCTTTACGTACTCATTTCTTTCCATGATGCCCCGATGCACATAAAACTAAGAAGTGATAAATGTGTAGGCCTTGTCTTCTGTTCACCTGTCTGATGTCGCTTTCATTCACAGCCCTCCACCCCCAGCCCCTGAACCTAAGAGGGTGGAGAAAAAATTTTTTCTTCCCTACACTGTCCAATACCATTGATTCCTTTTCTTGGCATAATTCTCCATGTACACACACAAATTAAAGTTTTAATGAAGGGAAAGGCTGTGGGCCTCAAACATCACGATCAGATCCAATGCACAATGTTTATAAGGACAGGTGAAAAACTTGTGATGGAGGAAGAATGATAAAATGCTATTAAAGAGAGAAAAACACCAAGAGAAAGGAGACAGAGAAAGAAAATGTAGTTCCTGTTAAATAACGGCTTATTTCATGGAGTCTTACAATTTCATAAAAAAAGTATCAGTGCATGTCATATTTTCATTTCTAAAGCCAATGCACATAATGGAAAAACCTGCATTTTAAGCAAAACTCAGAGTATATCATAATGGAGCTACAAATTGACCTCCTATCATGTTTTCCTGCGGCCACTCTTGCTGGGACTGAATTCCAAACAAGCTGGGCACAGCAAGTGGGCATTTCTTAAAACTCAAGTAATTTCTCAAACTCAACATTAATTCTGCTAGAAAAAGTTCCAATTCTAACTTCCTTCCTTCCTTCCTTCCTTTCTTCTTTCCTCGAGGGTGGATGCAGATGACTTGGTAACAAAGCTTATTTTAACACGTTGTTGTAAACCACAGACGAGTGAGTAGCTGAGTTCAGACTTCAGCCCAAACACTTTCTCCACACTCTCTCTGGGAAGTGAGTTCCTGTGGCTACTGCATTATCTCTGTTACCTTCAGGACAGTGTCAGCAGCTATACCTGGTCACCTAAAATTTTGCTTCATCCCCTAAGGCACATGGAGTATAGTAAGATACAACAGTAACCTCAAAATCCTGGTCATATAACAACACTCATGATAGGAATTACTCTTCCATTCTTAGACATGGAGCAAAGACCCTATCCAGGATGCCCGTGGAAGCAGTGACTGTGGAAACCACCAGAAGTGCCCTCATTCAGAGCAAGTCACACAGCTATGTACATTGCAACAAGACACAGGTCCCAGGCAGGAGGGGGAGGCCAGCCCAAACGCCACTCCTCACAGCAAATGCCCAGCACACGTAAATCTAGAAATTCACCAGAGTGTTAAAGACTTTGTCCAGAGATTTTATTCTTGGGATGGAATAGAGTTAGAATGTGACAGTTAATTAATGACCCATTATAGGGAAAACTCCACATTAAAGCAGATTTCTGTTTCTATTTATATCTTTTACCTTAGCAGTATCGTTATGTAAGTCCTCTCTTAA